GAGGGGGCCTTAATCAATAACAGTAATTTATATAGTTCAAAAAATTAAAATTTGGTCCTTCATATCAGAAAAGCCTCTTGAAGCATTAAGGCAATGTTTTGTTAACTAATTTTTTCTATTTGAAAAGCTAAGAGAATTTTATTTCAATATAGTCATAGTGATTAGAAGTCAAAATGGGAAATTAACCCTATACAAATCACTAGTTAGGACTCACTTAGAATAATGAGTACAATTTACATCTTGTTTTCCAAGAAAGTATACAGACTTGGAAAGGGTTTAGAGGAGGGCTGGCAGGGTTATCTTACAGGGACAGGTTAAGATGTCTTAACTTATTTTCTCTTGAGAAGAAATGGAGTGAGGGGTTACTTTACTGAAATTTACATAATTATCTAAAATCAATAGGATAGAGGCCACTGATTTACTTGTGCTGTATTGTGAAGATAATAGTACGAATGGACAAAAGTTTAAGATTTGGAAACGAGGTTCCAGTTAAGACTGACTTATGGAATGAGTTTCCACCAACACTAGTGGAGGCCAGCACATAACATACATTGGGCTGAAGTTCGTTACTTTTAAAGTTGCGCAATTAGTGGTATTTGCTCATTGGTTAATAAATGGCTCTATTAATGAACTAATACAATGTTCCTCCAACCATGGAACATTAAAAACAAGAACATATAAACAGTTGTTAGTAGGTGCTGCCTGCCAGTTACCTTCTTTCTAGAAAGCAGTTTGCCAACAGAAAAAAAGGACATTGGCACCAGGTGCTGCCAGAGAGTTTGCACACCTCCTAGTCAGCTAATCACCAAAGATAAAAAAACAACAATGATTGGTAACAGGTGCTGTCAGTCAGTTGCTACGACCTCCTAGTCAGCAGTTAAACACTAATGACAGTGACAGATAACCTCAGTAGTTTAGCCATAACAAAGACAGACTGTGCTGCCATGTCTGTTCATGCCCAATCTGACAATCGTGTGTTCTGACAAGAGCCTTGCAGTGTAGTTTTTATTGTGAAAGGCTCAGTATAAAGCTACCATGTCTAAAGCACACCACTCCTCCCTACAGGCTTTTCATGTTCCATCTAGTGTATGAGGATGACAGTTTCCCTTGATCACACAGATGTTCATAGGTCCTGCATTAATCAAATGTGCATGGGGTTAATCCAATGGATCAATGCCATATTGGAGAAAGAATGCTGACAATAATTCAGAATTTACTATATGTATCTATACAAAATGTGGCAAGCTTTTAGTAAAATGTACAACTCTGTTGCCCATATAAATTAGATGTGTTACAAAAGTATTAGTACTCAAGATACATCTGTGAATTTCCATTAGTCTGACTCAGATTCTGCCAAGTCAGAGTGCAAGGTGATATTCATGTGAAGAATAAAAATACCTTTATCCATCATGCATATTGCATTTGAAAAACCTCTAGAATCTCCAAAATGCATATATAAAGTATTTTTTAATATCTCTGTATATTTTATCTGGAATTTTTCTACTTCCACCATGAACTAACACTAAATTAGCAATGTGCAGTAAAATTATTAGTTGATAATGCTAACATCAAATACATAATACAATGTTGAATGGCACTCTGTAGAAAATTGTGGCATGCTCATTTTAACCCCTGCTCATACACATAGTGTTAAACAACTTAACCCTTATGAAACAACATGAATACCAATTTCATTCTCCAGCTGCTTCAGGTATGTTACAGTGAACAAATATGTCATGGAAGCAACTTGAGTACACGACTTGTGTTGCTTTTTTCAGATGGAGATCCTTTTAGATTATATTGTATAATGTTTTACCTAGGACTCGTTGATGGCTTTTGTTACTGACCTTTGTGTTTGTGAATTTTCACCTGTTACAAGATACTGCACTTTGCCTCTTTCTGGATGGTCCTCCCCAAATTGATCCACATCTCTTTGTTTTGTATATCATATAAGTGCCATACAGTGTAAAGTAGAAATGATACTGCTTGTGAACAAACTACTTCACAGATAAGTACAGAAATTCATAATACAAATGCTGAGCTTGAACAGGTGTTCCATGTGTAAGAAAGCCAAATGATATCAACAGGACTACAGTACAGTGTGATAACAGCTTGGAGTGGTTTCATGGGGATTGTTTGGGGTTGAATATTAAAGATTTGCAAGATATAACACTTTTTCTTTTTTGCAATTATTATGCAACAGTGGCCCTGCCCAGAGTTCAGCAGAACAATCAATATCAAACCACAATGATAAGCAGCATGACAAATAAAATTCCAATGACGATTATGATGGTGAGCCTGATAACCGGTAAAGTTCAGATTGTAAATGACATTCAACAACACTCACCATCAAACTATTATGATAAGCAGCATGGTAACGATGTTGTGTTTGATAAAGATAAGTCCAATGATGATGATGGTTAAATATAAAGATGAACCCAGTGATGATGATGATGATGCTGAGTCTGACAGACGTGAGTCCAACAATGCTTATAGTTAACCCATTAAGGATGAAGCTTATCCCAATTATGAAAATTGTGAGCCTATAATGATGAAGATGAGTCCAATGATGATGATTATGAGCCCATTAGGAAGGTAAGCCTGATGATTATGTACAAGAGTGATGATGACAGCCGTGGGAAAGAATGTATGCATGTTGCAATGGTATACATCAAGTGTAAAAATCTGTTAAGAGATTTTGGTAGCTTAGATTCCGAGTGATTTTCAAAGAGAAAGAAAAAGCCAGAAATTGATGAGCTCTGTACTATAAAAATTAGTCACAAAATAGCTGAGAAAATGGTGGATGCTTTATTAACTAAAAATAAGTAGTTTGAAAAGTCTTGTCCTTCTTATTTCACCTTTAAGTTAATCCATAAAGAATTGAAAAAAAATGCCAAAGAATATATCGGGAGCTACATAAACAATAAACCAGTGTAATGAGCAAGAAAATGCTCTCTTTTTTTATTCTTAAGTGAAATGTTCTTGCTAAAAAAATTATGCCCAACTCGAGGCGGCAAACAAAGATATCAATGTGATTTAATCATTGAAATGTGAGGTTACATACAGTCACATTATAATACATAAGAAAATAATTTCAGCTTTAAGTTTAAATCTGGAAAAGTAATTAATGTCTGCTTCGAATCGGAAATAAGAAATTAACTTCAGCCTGATCATTTTAAAAAAAGTATAATAAGTGAATCGATTATTTCCTTAAACATAAACATTATAGACCTTCAATTTTCTACTTTCAAGGCTGTTCCAACACACCCACCCTTGAGGAAAGTGAAAATTTAAACCATCCTAAAAGGGTGGCTTTAATTTTCACTTTTCTCAAAGGTGGGTGTGCTAAAACAGCCTTCAAAGTCTAAATGGTCTCTTGTTATCCGTACGTTATATGCAAATGACACTGGACCGTGGACGTGAATTTTACCGTCGCTGTATTATATTTATAATTATTGATAGGTCTATAATTTATAAAACAACAGCAAGCTTACCTCTACGACTATATTTTTATGGAAAGGCTTCAAATTAATGATCTTCTTGACAGTCAACTTTTCCCGATATATTGTAGAATAGCAAATTATTCCATGATAATTTGGATGACAGAATGGCCCATAAAAGGGAATTCTTTTATTTATTACGCATTTTTTAAGGAAAAACAGTATTTTTCTTGAATTACGTGCAATGGTAGCCGCCATATTCAGCACTCAACACATAATTAGGTAGTCATTTAGAATCTAGTTTAGTACACACAACATATAGTTTGTTAAAGTACTTTTTGACTAAAAAATAGAGAAAACTATATATTTTAATTATATTTTATTTTATTTGCTATACATCTTATAATTGACAAAACGAAGTATACATGAAATTATGTCGAAAGTAAAGATTTATATAAGTGGACAAGTTAAAAACTGTGGGGAGCACAGTCATATGACAATACATGGCTTTATGCGTAACGTAATGTGTTTGTCGTTTTATCGGTTTCGTGCTTTAGCGTATGTAAAAATTATTAGTATTCAAACTTATCCATAAACTGCATTTCAAAAGTTTTTATCTGTTACTGTTAGTTCAGAAAATATTATGGGTTGTTGTTTCAGCAATGATGATGACAAAGGCTCACAGGTAATGTAAACTGTAATGTAATTGTATTTGCAAATTTGTTACTGTTGTTAGTGTTAGTAAGTTCGAAATGAGGACTTACCAAATATTACTAATATACTTTATAAATGTAATATTAATTATATATATGAGAAGTATTAAATGCTGTATACACAGTTGTTATGACACGCTACGTTTCGCCAGTGTTAACCTGGCATCATCAAACGACAGAAGTACAACTACAACTTACAAAGAAACTGAAAAGCTGATGATGCCATTTTACCAGGATAACGCTTGCGAAATGTCGAATGTCATACCAACTTTGTTTTCAACACCTAGTACTATTTTTCATTTTTATGAAGTTCCGATCAACCGGCATATAAAGTGGGCCAGAAAGACTTGTGATTTTCAATTTAGTGCTTTGGTTATGTTGATTGATTTTTTGTAATAACTTTCTTATGTGGTACTCCAAAATAGAATTTACTTGTTAGTGTTACTTAAGGTAATCTTAGGTTTCATTGTTAATGCTTTATAAATTTTTGTTTATTTACCGCTAAAACTCATCTTTTTTGGCAAGGCATATTTTGCAAGAGTGTTGAAAATGATTTTATTTAATATGAATAACATAATAAAATAGTATTAAGACAATTTATTACTAACAACAATTAAAATGGAAAAAACAAAAACTAGCAATACTAAAAAAAAGCTTGTATTTGTTGGTGTATAAAACGATCCCATGTATAAGACGACCCTGGATTGTTTGAGCAAATTAAGTGTATTTCTTTGAGCTTTGGTGTATAGGACAACCTCTATTGTCAAGCAAGTCTAGGATGTTACTTTTCCAAAGGGATTCTTAGGAGTTATTTTTAAACTGTGCTAACCTTTGCTTTGGGGTAATCAATGCAACCACAAGTGTAGTTTTTTATGCTCTTCAAATTCTACAGACAGCTTAATGCATCATAAGTCACAAACATGTAATAAACAACTTTACAAAGTTTTCATCACAGTCGAACTCCTTTTCTATTACAAAAAATACTAAACCTTAAGATGTAGTTATATACTATAAAAACATGTTTACAAAATTCGTGTACGTTACAGAAACTTTTTTAATATAATATTAGCAATATTTTAGTATGATGGATGAGATCAATACATTTCAAATAAAAAATGTCTTGATTAATTGTAACTAGCATGTGAGATAAATAACTTCTAGTTATGAAGAATCATGACAAATGATACAATTACAAATATGTTATTGTAACGCAGTAGATGGCACGATGTAAATGCACTTACTCTAAGAAGCAAACAAAAGTAAAAGGAACAATGAAGTTTTGGTTTAATATACAATTACCTGGAAAGTTCTTTCTGGAACTCTTATCTTTGAACCTCTGTGTAAGTAAGGCAGTGGGTAAAATCAGGCATTATTTTAAAAGTGAAAAGTATTGTCTTATGCACCAGAAAATACGGTATACCTTCTAAAAGAAGATAGAAAAAAAGTTTACAGATGATGTTAGCATTTGATCAGTCATGTGCAGTTTAGTCTTTTGCCTGTTGTCAAGCTCATTCACAAGAACCTAAACACAATAGCTGAATGTGCCGTAAATTCAAAGCTTCTTGTTTCTTTTCAAAATAATTAATGTTTTTAATTTGTATTTCACTAGTAAGTAACTGTAATTTTGGGGTATAAATGTGCCTTAAACCAATTAATATGGTACAAATGCATCTTTAAGTATTTCCTATAGGCTTGATCAATTTTGGGCAGTATTTGATGACCAAATATTACATATTGTAACAATTTTTCAGAATGTATGTTAACTTTAAGTTTTTAAAGGTATTTAATTGCTTCATAAAAGAAAAATTATAATCATATTCATAACAACTGAAATTATTTCACAAAACCTCAAACTCATAATGAATCTCTTTAAAACTAATTTGCATTTTTTATATAGTCGAAAGTTTTTACTAACAAGGCTTAAGGTATTTTTATTGTAAATTTAGCCTGAAAATGTCAAATGTAATATCAGTGTTACAAAGAAATCAGTATAGGTAGTTTCAACATAACTTCTGTATATATATTGGTAGGTTGGAGACCCGCATGAAAGAACAACACTTCTGGGGAATCCTGTAAGCAACTCTTCAACCAGACCTGGCTGGTATTGTATTGTTTGCCTCTCTTTCTTAAATATACAGTTTATGCCATAAAAAGAGAACTTATAAAATGACATGTTAAATGTTTTTCAACTAATTTTTTTGTGGAAGTAGTGAAATATAGTTTTAGATAGTTGTGTCAGTTTAATTAATGATACATCTCAAAATTTATACAGACTACATATTTCTTTGTTTTTAAATTATTAAATTCTTTCTGTTCTTTATCTATTACAAATTATGTTTTGGTTTACTACATATTTAACAATATTATTAATCTTTGTTTTGAATACACCATGCTTGTAATGTAGGGTTGTAATGAAAGATTTGGAACACATTACCAAATGAAGATTCAGGCCTTTGATAATATTGATATCACCATAACTACTATAAATGAAATTAAACATTCACACATAATTTAGAAATATGTTATACAGCTTGGTAATTATGTTTTTCATATTTGAAATAATTATGAAAAGTATGCTGTTTATATACATGTGTATAGCTACATAGAGTAAATTTTCATTACAAGAGCACCCTATTGAGGCCAATTAAAATAAGTGCAGCTGGCTTAATCAAAACAAACCTTTATTTAACAATCATAGTCATTTTAACATAAAATTGTTGATTAATTAAACATCATTAGTGTCAGATTAAGCTGGGCAATTGATGCTATTTGCTAGTCAATTAAATGATTAGTATAGTGTTCCTCAAACCATGGTACATACAAGCTAAACAAGTTGAAAACAGATGCTACCAGCTTGTTACATTCCTTCTAGTTAGCAGTTCAAAAAGAAGAAACAGTTTGGCAACAGGTGCTATCAGACAGTTTCTGTCCTCTAGTCAGCAGTACAAGAAGAAACTTCCTCCCCAAAAAACAAAGCTGAATAAACCTGAAATAAAAGAAACAGTAACTTGTAAGGTTAAAATTGGGTTGAGCTAAGATAGCTCAATATGTAGCTTTGTGCTTAATAACAAACTAACATAACAATATTTCTATTAGTTGAATAGTTGGAATAATTAAAATAAGTAATAATTGAAAAGCTTAATTTTGACTAGTTGATTGTTTTCATGGCAGTCGATTTAATCTTAAGTCAGATTAATCGTTTTTTGGAATAATTAGAAATGCTACTTACCCTTCTGTACCACTAATAGCTATTACGTTACATATAATTGGCAGGAACTTTTCTGTTTATGCCATATATTTTGAACAAACTTCCACCCTTACATCTGTCTACATGTATTGCACTAGCCTATGATGTTTTTTTCATGTGTTTTTTGTGTTTTTAGTTGCCTTGATCGACTGCAATTTTTTCTTTTGTTACATTGCTTTTGTCCTCCTTGTTGCCCTTTTGTTCCATCCATCTGGTTTCAATTTCGTTTTCACTAGCCACCACATTTCTACTTTCAAGAACTTATGTGAAATAAAAATAATAATAAAAAACATCCCAAAGCCCATTTGCTCCTTTTCAAGGATTTTCTCAACCCGATTTAATGGCAACTGGAAGCACCTTATCTTTTCATATAACCAGCAGTCAGCTATTATCGCTTTAGCTCAATTAGTAGAACACACACATGCACATGCCAGGTCTTGGATTTCACTCTGTGATGAAGTACTATTGACATTATAGATAACTTAAATTACCACAATTTTATAGAGCTGGGATGAACCATGGTGTAATAACAAGTTAACTTATGATGTTCCTGTTACCATGTGTCAGGTGGTTGGTTCCATTCTGCCTATTTCTTCTCCAGTTCATGTTCTGTTTTATTGCTTTTTGTGGAGGCTGCCTTGCATATGAACAATTTTGGATATCTCTTCCACCTCCAGTCTTTGCTTCTGGCTGATTTGTTCCTGATGAGGAACAGGTACCTATTTTTCTTTTTCCTCTGTTCATAAATTAGGTATATGATATTCTGTCTCTTTTACCTGTGTATCTGAGGTTGTTTGGGATGCTCCTCCTCCTACTTTTATGTCTTTTTCTTTCCAGCTATCTGATCATTTTTGTCTATCTTTCCCCTACTCCTTTACTATATTTCTGCTCTTCATCTCCTTGGTAAGGCTCTTCATCACGACCCAGGTGGTTTTGTTTGTCACTTTGGCTTCTATTTCTCCCTGTACTGTCTCTTTTTTGACTTGGTTTCTTGTTTTTGTAATCTCCTCAATCTGTATGCTTTCCTTTTGGGTGTCTCTATCCTTTCCTTTTATATCTATGACTTTTTCATGCCTGTTTTCTTACAGACTGAGTCTTTAGGGGTGTTCCAAACTCTTTGGATTCCTGCTCTTCAGTGATATTCCATTATTTCCTAGGTTTCCTATCTTACTTTTCCACTGGTACCTCTGTCTGCAACCCATTCTCAGGAGTCATGATGGATTAACCCCTCTCCTGTTCCTCATCCTATTTCTTCTGTTTGCCACCCCTCTTCCTACAGGACTCACTGCCTTGCCCCACCCCCATTCTTTTTACTGAAGTCTGAGTCAGTATCTTGTCCACCAGGGAATTTTCCATGCAGGGCAAGCTCAACCCATTCCCATGGAGATCATGGTGTCCAAGGCACATCTTTCTCCTGCATGAAAAGTTCTTTCACTTTTGATGACTCTAGAAGCTCTGGTCACTCTTGGTCGTGTCCATATGCATACCCTTCAATGGTTCTGGAGGATCAATGGAACATGTTCTGCAATCCATTTCTGCCCTTATGTGTCTATCTTCTTTTCTACATCCTTCTCTATCATGGTGGCTTGATCGCTCCACCACCAACCATCAGCATGACTTGCTTTTCTCTCTCTGGTTAGGTTTAGTATTTAGATACTAAAACATTGGTTTGTGTAATTATAAGGAACATCTACATTTTACCCTAGCAGTTTGCATATAGAAAAGCTGTATTTCTCATTAATAATTGACCTGAGGGGTTCAGTTTCTGAAGTTTTATTGTTTGTATTTCAGTGATGATTATGGAAGTGGAATGAAATATCCACATAATCAGAGAGCAGATGAGCAGTCTGCACTTAATAGAATACTTCATGAAACTGCTACGTAAGTATATTTTATTTTTGTAATCATTTAGAGTGGTTAACTGTTCTAAAATTTTAGCCTTTATTTTACCTTTAAAGTTTTCTTCTAACAAGCACAATGTGGAACAGATGAAACAGTTTTACTTTATTAGTATAGCATTGGATAAAGTAAAATGCTCTTTTTTTTTGTATGTTAATTGTAGTAATTTGTTACCTTTCTGATGTAAAAAGTTCGAGGTGCACCTAATTTATTGAATTGGGATAACTTTCGTCTAAAAGTAACTGCTGTAGTACATATTTTTATTTCAAATACATTGATTTACCTCTATGTATGGAAAACTTATCTTCAGCTTTGTTTTTGTGTTCTAGCCTGTCTTCTGTCACTTAGATGTTATCACAATTTATCTGGCTTTCTAACCATGCGACAAGAGCTCTTACAAATTCATTCAAGCTAGTCAATGTGTTTCCCATGGGAACGAAGCTTGTACTGAAAGAGAAATTAACATTTTATGTACAGAGAATAAAGTAGTTTGATAGATGAAAACCCTGACTTTCTATTGGTTAAAAATAATATTGTATTAAATGTAAGAGAGGATGTGACAGGTGGGTAAGGCAAAAGGGGTCGGATTTTCTGTTTGATGTCTCTGTAACCAAACAAAATTGAAGGCTGTGAAAATTTTTTACCTGAGTGATGGCAACATTATAATGTGTAATTTACATTAAATTTTGTACTTCTTTGAGGGGTGGTAAATAAATTAGAGAAGAGGGGATGTCTAGAGAAAATATGTCCTATTTCTCACTCAAGGGGAAATTCAGGATCTATTTTTTAATACTGACTATGAAAATAAGAACTTGAAACTTGTATACTATTAAAATATGGATTATTAGCTACAATTTTTCGCTATACTAATTGGTATAACATGAACAAACAGAAAGTAGTTTAATTAAATTTTTAATGTAACTCACTAACAACCTTGTGACGTGCACGGTAAAGGCTACCCATGGCGAGGGAAATAATTGCTGCTAAGAAGTCACTAGACATTTTCTAGACAAAAAACAAAGGAGACCACATTGTGAATAAAGTGATGAGGTCTCACCAAAAAAAAAGGAGGAAAACTAGGTTAATTTGAAAAACAATTTGTGGCAACCTTGTTTAGTTGTTATATCTTCAAGTCACTTCTTTCTTTGGTTCATTGATTGTTGCATTATTTTGTGACAGCTGAGATGTTTGGTATTTCTTGCTGTTTTGAAGTTTTCTTTATATACTAGGAACTATTTTGTTCAAAAAATGCATTTACCTCTTTTCATTAGTGGGATGTCTTTACAAGGAGTTAAACACTTTTAGTGCTGGATTTAGTTGCCATAATGTGTTAAAAGATGCTAAGCAATATTTGCTAATTGCTAATTAAATTCGATAATGATTAGCAGAAACTGCTGATCAAATCTACCAAACTATTTTGTCCCCTGCACAAAACATTTTATACGTTATAGTATGGGAACTCTGATGGTCAATTTGTGTCACATGGCTGGTGTAATCTACCAAGCCTATATGCTGAATATTTAGAAGGAAACCTCTGATTATTTCAGGAGCCATATTGCACATGTTTCTGCTGATCTGGAGGTTCTTAAAGCTGAGATGTTTATTCTCAGACCTACCATTAGGGATAGACAACTTAGGCAGCTGGGTGTGGCACCAATCAAACTATTGCTGGTTTTTTTTTATCATTATACTTAGTGTTTTATGTTGAATCATCAGGTTTAGACTACAACCATGAAGAGGAAGATTTTCCTTTGAACTGATAGCCCTAATTTCTCTTATTTGTATTTAGGCCTTGCGACTCTCTCATTTATTTATTTCTGTTTCCTCCCATTCATTTAAAAAAGTTTGTGAAGAATGATTTGGATGCCTTCTTCCTTTCCCAACACTTTGACCGATGCCTTGTGTCATACTTTGAAGCATTTGAAACAATGTTCAGTGTTTGACAAGTTACTGATCAAATGACAAAATTTTAAGAAATTAAGCTTTTGATTGGAAAATATCCATGTTGAGATTGCTATGAAGATAGTGTAATGGAATCATTTGTTATTAATGTTAATTAAATTTAACTTAAGAGTATGAAGTGTCTGAAAAATAATATTAAAACTATCTTTAGCTGGATATGGAAAATTTAAAGACAGTTTGTCAATGCATGGCTCATCATACATTACAATTCATCAAAGACAACAAGAAAATTGACTATTGTTAAGTACAGTCTTAATGTCTTAAATGCCATAAAACTTACAGTAAATAATTAAATAATTATTTTTTATCATCATAATCTTCACTGTTTTTGAAATGATTAGATAGTTTCCTTTTGTTTGTTTTGAAGTCCATCTTTGTTGACCAATTTCTATAATTAACTAGTGTTTTGTAAAGTTTTTTCCTAACAAAACAAAATTGTGTTATCTTAAACTTACCTTGTTCTAATATTCTAATACATAATCTGAGCTTTTTAGAATGAATCATTTGAACAGCCTTTAGGCAGGGTCCCCTGCTCTGCTATGACCTGAGGCAGTTTTGTGGTGTTCTGAAGGTTTATTTCTAAGAAATTAATACTACTTGCTAAAATGCTTATGGCTTGCAAAATGGCTTATATTCTTGAGATTTGATGGAGGGGGAATCTTTCTCTCTTTTTATCTTCTGTTTAAAATTTATTTCCCATCCTCTTACTCGCAGGAGCTTAGGATTGCCCATTTTTGTAGAATTACATTATGTCAGTGTTTGTTTTCAGCAAATTAATCTTTTTTAAAAAACTTGTTTCTCTGTGTGCCATAGCCTGTTTCAGAAGTAATCTTTATCTATCTTCTGGGTCTTCTCATTTCATTAAGCTTCAAGTTATGTTTACTTTTTTCTGAATAAAATATCCAGCTTTTTTTTAATAGTGTTCAGAATTTTAGACAAATAAGCAACCAAATTTGTTCTAGACAACTGTCATGGATTTTCTTCTGACCAATTTGTAGTTCTTTGGAAGAACTCTGCTTGACTATCAAGACAAAGTACTGGATGATGAAGATGAACATTTTAGTACCTCAAATCCTAATATATCCTGAATTATATTTTTATACTTACAGAGATATTGTTTGAGTTTTTTAATTTGCCATTTGATCAAGAAGTAGCTCTTTGATGTTTTCACTTGTATTTTTAAGGTTTTAGAAGTTGTAGATTCATTTCTCAATGATTTCTTTTTTTTTGCATAGATGTAAGATTAATGCCTGCTTTAACCTTGGAGGATGAATCTTCATTATCGTCTACACACATCATCATGATTGGCTAGATTCCAAATCCCATCTTCCAAAATACACTAAACCCTACTCACACTTTACCTTTATCCCAACGAAAGTTTCTCCCATCTAAGCATTGGTATGAATCTTACCTCACTTGCTACAGCCTTTATACCCCACTATATTGCCCAGAACAAGTTAAATCTTGTGATTCTCTCCACCTATGTCAATGCGCCTCTTATATAAGCTTCTCGTTATTACTTCCTACTCACTTTTTTGAGATGGTCCAAATTAGCAGACCCCAAACCAGGCATTTCGTGGGGACGATGGTTTTTGTGCATACTTTGGGTTTTTCTTGCTTGTTGTATAAATTTAGTTATACCTATGCTTTGGATGACTTTTTTTTTTACCTGTCTTATTGGGTTTTGAGTTTATTGTCTATTTTCTTCATTTTCTACAGAAAAAATAAATTTTTGAGACATTTAGGATATGAATTCTCACATTCACATCTCTGACATAGAGTCTCCTAGTGCTCCTACTTTACCACCTCTGGAGTGGAGTGTTGCCTGGGCTTCGGGGGAGGCCCCCTTTCAGTGTAGGTCATCCATTCTCTCATATGCAGAGAGGTGGAGTTTTAAATGAGGTCTGATGTTTCTTCTGTTATCAGCTCAGAGGCTGAACTTGCAGGGATCAAGGGTGGACTGGTGAGAATTTTTTTTTGGCTTCTTCCTTTACTCAGACAGTTAATCACAAGCCTTAGGTGGACATCCCATCTCCTGTATCATTTTTACAACTAGTACATCAAGTTTGAGCATTTCTTCTGTAGCTTACAACTAATGTTCCAATACATGTGTGGAATAAATATTTTCATGTGCACCAGTATCAAGGAAATGTGTGGATGTGCACTACCAGTTTTTTATTTTATTTTTAGTGAGTGGGTATTTTCAGACCATCAATCTTATTGGATCATTAGGCTGCTTTGCAATGCTCCCAGCTGGTTATTTGGGCTTTAGGCCTATCGACTGCCAGGGTCATTAAGGCTGACAATCTGTTGAGACTCCTCACCATTACTGAGGATGTGCGTGACTGGAATAATGAAGTATATGGCACTTGATTGGTAACTTTGCAGCCATGCAACTTAGAGGGAACACTGCTTACAACTCCAAAATAGCTTAGAATACTGTAGTCACTAATTGTGTTCTTCAAATATCTTAGAAGTGCAATGTTTTATATCAGAATGTCAAGGACACTAGATTTGGTGCTTGGACTATATTTATATATCATTTTAAAAATTCAGTATTTGCTGAAAAAATGGTGTTGTGAAACACAATTTCAAGGTTAAATAGTTTAAGACATTTAAGTTGATATATGCTTTTACATTAATACACAAATATTTACTCACTTTTATGAGAAGTAATTTAGTGAAATAGATGGAAACCTCAATCACTAAAGATATTTAACTGATGAGTCAGTGCAGTTATTTGTTGATTTAGCCTTATGAATGCTTTCAAAGTATAGCTTTCTTCAGGTTGTAAGGTAAAAAAATCAGTCTGTTAGGCCTGTCTTTTGTAGCCAGATTTGTACTAATTTTTTAGTTATTATTTTTACCATTTCAGTGTCCCCTGAACAGTAGCACCTTTTTTTCACTTTATAAATATTACAGGCTGTAGTCAGTGTGAAAATATAATTTTTGGTTAAGATATTTGTACAAGTGTTGATTTAAATGCAATAAAAATTATAATATGTAAAAGTAATGTCTTCACATGAATTCTTCATGTAACCAACACAGTGCAAGGTTTTCTGAACTGACAAACACAATCATCATAAATGTTTTGTACTTCTACGTACATAGTTACAATTTACAAATTTTTCATGATAGAAAGTATTAGTTAACTGGTAAGTGAATTTTATATCTTCTTCATACCTTGTTAATAACTAAATTAGACTATCGAAAGGCATTGTTAATGGATTGCATGTGTATAGGAAGTTTTCGACGTTTTGAGCAGATCTTCATCAGGCTAGCGGCTCAAAACATTATCTTAAACTTCGTAGACAGATGCACTCCATTAACAACACCTTTCAAGTGTACTCTCCTCTGTTTAAACCTTCTTTTAAGCAGTATGTTAAGACTACTTTTCTAAGTGTCACGCCATATTTCCACGTGATGTGAACCCTGCGTGCTTTGCTATAGATAACACCATGATAGAATAACTATTTATCTTTAACCAACTCTTCAGTAAACTAGGTTACAAATGAATATCGTGTACTTTATAATTAATAAAATATCACTAAAAAAAATTCCTAATTTGCTTGTAAATTTGTAAATGTGAGTTTTTCATAATCTGATATAAAACCATGTACATGTGCATGTTTTGGGAAGCAAATAGGTTTTGATTGTATTGAAACCGTGTGTGTCTATCTATTCTCTGTCATAACTAGTTAATAATTTTATGATAAATTTCAGGAATGTGATTGATGTATCAGCTATGAATTCCCACCTAGAACAACATGAATATCTAGACAGAGCTCGCCAGTACAATCAGAGAGTTGCAGCCACTGCTCAAAAATATACATATCCACAAAAAAGACCATCCTTATTGTTAGACCTTCCAGCAACAGAAAAGAATCTTTCAGCCAGTCCAATACCCCAAAAAGATCTGAAATTGGTAAGTGTAAAATTTAGTATGTTATTCTTCTCCAATAACTGTTCGATTCCTGAAGATGTTTTGTCTGGGTAAGACGTCAATAAAACCTTCAAAACTTTACAGCTGACACATCTAAAGAAAGACATTTTATAGTAATTCTACTTCTCATGTTGAAAATAGTACAGCTACCAATTACTGTACACTAATAGTCACACACAGTAACTCGAGAAGTTTCCATTTTTTATCCTCGTAAGATATGATAATATCTGTGATACAGACTATACATTAAATTTGGAGCATTGCAACTTTTTGAAAAAATGCTAGAGCTTGGTTTTATAAACCATGGCAACTTGTTACAGTTGCAGCTGTAAAAAGGTTTAGTACATAATTTAGTGTGTTACCAAACACCACGAAAGAAAGTCTACACCTTCTAGGTGTTGGTTAGTCTTGAGTGATTTATAAAACTTATTTGAAACTTTGTGTGTGTGTGTGTGTGATACTGTCAGTTATTATATCGTTGGACTGACCCCATATTGGAGAAAGAATGTTAACCACGATTCCAAATTTACTACGTATATCTGTATGAAATGTGGCAAGCTTTTAGTGAAATGTACAAGACTGCTGTACCCAAATGTATTTCCAAAAATCTCAAATTTACTTCTGAGAGATACTTTGTGCAAAAAAGTTTGTGGATTATGGTGTTCATGTTTGTAAGTTTTAATTATAATGGCATTTTGTTTATTTTTTCTACATCTGACGTAAAGAATTTTTTACCAGTTTATATTTGTATTTAAGTTATGAGTTTAATTTGTTGCAACATTATTTATTTATTTATATATTTTCAAAATGGTTCTATCTTTAGGCTTAGGTCCTGATTATGTTTTTATAAAAAATATAAATAAATATTACAAGTTTTGTATTCCATGTTGTGTAATATAAACAATTAAAACACTAAAATTAATTAATGAAAAAATACTGTACCTGTAGAAGAATTACTAATTAGGACTAGGCAAAATATTTTTTGATCCATAAGAATTTTTATTGTATATTTTTAATAAAAAAATTATTTTTAGGCCTGTAACATTTAATTCTAAAATAAATGAAACTTCAAAACTGGCAATTAAATGAACTTTGGTGGAGTTTATAACATCACAGTTCTTGTAGCATTCAACTGTAAAAAGAGCTGATCAAACCATGTGAATTTAACTGGTCATATAAAACTGAGTCTGTTTATACTACCCTGCAAGAAATTATCTTTCACCTGCAGAGCTGGCATGTTTCAGTAATTAGCATATGAAGCTGATAAAAAAAAAAGGCTAATCGGTGGCAGGTGCTGTTGATTTGTTGATCTCCCTGAGATCAGCAGTTCTAAATTAGGGAAGACTGTCCAAACATAAGGATCTCCTTACTGGCAATATATTTACCCTTGTATAGCATACAGTATTTTAGGGGTTCAAAATACCAAATACCGTCCTCACCCTGCAGTAGGGTGCTTATTTTCCGTAAGTATTATCTTATACATTATGAAAAGTATATACATATATATATAAAACAAAACATAATCTGTGGGTTGGATTATATTGTGTAGTTTTTCTATTAGCAGAAAACTTGACTACTTGTTTTATTTTATTACTTATTTTATATTACATCTTATGTCTATTCCCCCCTCCTCTTTTTTTGTTTTGTCTACAGCTTAAGAGTGCTTGTGAAAATGCTGTTAATGCACTTCAAGAGATCAAAGTGCAGCACCAGGAGGAACTAGTAGTTCAGTTTGGAATTCCATGAATTGCTTGTCAACATCATATCAATTGCTGAATTCAGAGATTCATGTAATTGTACAGGTAATATGGAATGATTAGTCTTCATTAGTGGATTCCCTCCACTACAACCAAGTGACATTTTTGAACATTTAGCATTCTTGACCGAATTGACAAAAATCCGCTAACAACTTTTGAGAAAGATCTTAATTTTTTAAAGGGTTTTTTAAAACTAAGTGCTGCTTTAGACATTGGTGTACAAATTATGCCGGATAATAAGATAAAGCTAAGCTCTAGGTTTTTTTTTTTGTTATGTTACTTTATTATTGTTGAATATATGTTGTAGACCTTATTATGTTCAAGAAAATGTTTTGAAAGAAATAATTTTGCAAATCCAACAAATAAATCATTTAAATAATCATAAGCAAAATAATATAATATTGCATAGTTTTGTGACACTATATATACTTTTTAATACAAATAAATGTTTTTAAAGTACAATGACAGTATGACGTGCTCCAAACTGTGATTGTTCATTTTCTTTCCTTTTTATGATATCAGTGTTCCAGTTGGCAACTGACTAAGTGCAACATTGTTTGTTAAATCTAAGTCCAAATGTTTGAGCATGTTTCTGAAAGTGCCATTAAAAGGAACTGTTAAATACATTTATATAGAATCATGGAGGGCATGTGTAATTTGTACTTAAATTGTCCTATGCCTGATGACAGATTCTATTTGATTCTCATGCTAATAAATAAATTCAAACATGTATTAAAATTTGTATTCTTTGTCATTATATTACAGTTAAGTACATCTGTATAAAAAAAAATACATTCTACAGTTAATATACAAAATGTTTTACACTTGTTAATAATTACTACCACTATATTTACTTTGTAGAAATTAAATTATTGTGCATTTTGAGATAAATATAATAGTCCTAATACTAATCTCTTCTGACAAGTATAGTTACAATCATGCTTCACCAGCTTGTAAAAGACATTCACACCATAACAATTATTGTTGTAACAAATGGTTTATATAAATAGTATTCCAACCACTACTGTGTCTGTTGTTTCCCAGCCAACCTGAAGAGCTCTGGATTGAGCAAAATGTGTCATCAGCAAAGGATACAATGGATATAGTGTGGTTAGAATAATACTATCATACAATACACCTTTGTAATTCTTAAAAATCCCTAGGGGACTAGGTAAAGAATGTGGGGTTTAAAAATATAATAGGCCTAATACTAAGACGTCAGTATAATTATAATCATGCTTTGCCAGCTTGTAAAAGACAATCACACTTAATATTTATTATAGAAGACATTTACTTAAGTTTACTACTTGCGGTAAAGAAACTGATCACGTAGCAAATGTTATTGAAGAAATAAATTAATTCGTCTTCGTTATGTGGATTACACTTGGCATTATTTTTACCAGGTAATCCAAAAGAACCCACCAAATAATACTTTACAACAATATATGCAAAAGTTATCACCCATATTATAACTATGTGTTTGAGTACACTGTAAAATAAAAGGAAAATACAAGAAAGGCGTTTTTGAAAACTGACATAAGCCTTTTTCGTACTATTAAAAGTAAGTTGTAAGCTAAGCCTACTTGGTTTATTTAATTTAAGGGCTTAGTCTATTAATAAGCAAACTATCTTTTTTACATAAGTGTTGTTCTTTATTGACTCTTGCTAAGATCTTAAAGTAATTATAATGTACAGCTATGTTACAATCATCTAGGGCATGATCAAATACATTTGACCTAGTCAGCGATTTCAACTTTGTATATTCATTCATACGAGTTAACAATTCTATTTTAGGGGACTCGACATAGCTTTACTGACAGCAGGAACAGCTAAGTTTATGAGCTACATTTGATGACTTTAATGCAAAAATGTGGTCCTTAAATCTATGAACAAACAAGAGGGAATCCTCAATAGCTGTGGCACTTGAAATTCTTTTATGCATGATTAGAGTAAATTAACCTATGAGACCTTTTTTCCTTTTAATTAGCTATATTTTTGTACATCAGAAATACTAAGTGTGGTGTGCATGCACACTCATTTTTATTACTCATCAAGATTTCTACCAGCCTACTCTCAAATTGAATTTCTTTTAAGTAGGATTAGAGTAAATTAATCTATGAGACATTGAGTGTGGTCAAATACATCAGTCAAAATGGTTTGACCTCCTGAGTCCAAAACTGTAATTAGATCTCAAATTGGTCAAGAGATGATTCAGCTATGAGCTAAAAGTTTGTACTTGATAAAAAAAAACAAACACGGAGCCATTCTATGAGCTGCTATGCAGCAGTTTAAAAAAATTTGTGAACAACATTTAGGTTTAAAAATACATCTCAGCTTTATTTGAGGATAAACCCTACAAAGTACATTTGTTAACTTATTTTTAATAATCAAAGAGTATTTACCCATATATAGCAAGGTAATAGCAAGATATTTTGGTTTAACTCTAACTTTATTTATTCATATAGGGGAAAAGGTAAAAGACAGATAAGAGTGGATATATCTGTGGATTCAGTTTGGAAAGGTAAAAGGTAGATACATGGATAAGCCAAAGGTAATTTAGTCGATGACATCAAAAAACTGCTGTAATTCAGCTTTCTCTAAAACTATGTTTAGTCATGATCGAGTAGACAGTGTGAGTATATGACAAGAAAAATCTGGTGTCTTTTGCATATGAATGCAGTAGATTCATCCTGAATCTGAATTTAGTTCTTGGTAAAAGATAATCCATTCCTGAATCCAAATCCAGTTGTTGGAAAAAAGTTATATATTTTGTGTAAAAGATGGATAAATCCATTCTCAAATCTGAATACAGTTTTCAGTAGAAGGTGGATATATTTTGTGTAAAAGGCAGAAAAGTAAATTCCTGAATACTTTATATGCAATCTTTAATATATCCATTTATCCACTTTAATCTGTCTTTTACCCACACCCTTCGAATAGTCATGATGTATTCTGTCAATAACATAAATATGAAAATCATTTTGACATAAAAATCATTTGATGTTATTAAAATCTTTATGCTAGATATTTCATTTGAATGATTAAACAAAATTGTCTTTAAAAACATTTGCTATAAAACTTACAAAATTAGAGTACAAACTGGTAAATGTTTTTGTTGTTCCATCAGTGGGTCAAGGGTAAGTTTATGGACTTACAACCATAAAATCTGGAGTTTGATTCCCTGTAGTGGACAGTGAAGATATCCAATTGTGTAGCTTTGCACTCAAAAACAACAACAACAGCAACCATTATTGTGTTGTAAATCAAAATGTATGAAATTGAAAGTTTATGATCCTGTTGATGTCCAACAGTGAATTTTATACTGTCATGTTTGCTATTCATATATCCAAGAAACTGAGGGGTTTGATCAGAATCATCGAGGTATCAGTAATTGTAAAGTGGTTTAAAAGACTGTGGCCAGTCTTCCAACCATTATTTTCCATGATAACATGAGAAATACTGGGCAAAGAGGGCACTAGTCTAGAACCCTTGGCGACATCATCAGTCTGATAAAAAAAAATTGCTGTTAAGAAAATGAGATTCTTTTGTAGCATCAACTTAAAAAAAAACTGATTTAGGTATGGTCAAATTGTTGTTGAAAATAAGATCTACACTTAACTGTATGGTTTCTTCTAATGGTATGTTAGCTTACAGTGATTCAACCTCAAAGTTGGCATAATGTGCATCGCTATCAAGCTTTATTTGTCTTTCACTTCAAAAATTCAAACAAAAAACCAACTAAAGCATGGTTATAAGTTCCAGTGCTAGAAACTATAGATGGTAATGGAAATCCTTCTTAGGAAGATCTTGGAAAACTCATGGATGACTACATGATGGTCTAATGTTCAAATATTGTTTTTCATTTAGAATATTATACTTTTTCAGTTTTAATAGGTATTTTTGTAACTTTGTTTTTCTTGTATCAGTAGATTAAGCTGCAGCTTCACAAACTTAGCGAAATCACCTAAATTAACTTCAGCTTTTCTTAACTATTCATCTTTGTCCAAAATTTACTATACTGTTTCATTTGTCAGATGTAGAAATAATAATTTTTTGTTGTCTCTCAAAATTTGTAGTGCATACTGGAGGGATTTTATCTTTTATGAAAATGTAAAAATAATGGTAATATCATTTTTTTTATACATAGATTCTTTGAGAGTTTAAATTTCTCTGAACTTATATTTAGAAATTTTTTATTTCATAATTATAATTATTAAAAGAACTCAAAGCTTTACCACTAATCTGTGTTCTATTATTTACTAAACCATTGACCCAAGTGAGATCAAATTGATTAATGTGACAGTGATTTCAGAAATTGTTCAAATTGTACACATAATCTTCAAACTTTAGCTTATTCAGATTTTAAATCATGAGCTAAATCCTTATTTTCTCTATCGTTCAAAATGTACTTTAAATAATTAAAAATAACATCATCAGGTTGTTCTAAATATAAATGTGTATCTAACTGTCACCTTTGATTGATCAATTAAACCAATTGTTTTTCTGTGCATTGTATAAAAATATTATTGTTTTGTGTTTCAGTGAATTGCTTAAAATGTAAAATTCTAAACACCGTACTTGATAACCACATAGTAAACTGCAATCCTGGGTATTACAAAATAATATGGCCTACAAATGAGTACAATTTTGACCTACCCTATAAAATTAGATAATAAAATTAAGTGCTACTTAACTAAATCTAAATCTTTCTTCTCCTAATAAAAGTAATATAAAAAATATAGAAATAAAAATACAACCCTACGTACACATATATACAAACTAAAACCTTCTCATGACCATTCAATATTAAACCACGATCTTTTTGGAGTTATTAATTCATTATCAATTAGAAATCTGCATTTTTTTTAAACTGATGAAAGCTTTTTATACTGCTTGAAGTAACTTGTAGGATGAGCCAACTTATTAAGGATAAAAAATATATTTTGTATGGTCTAATCCTCAAATACAGCTGTATTTTTATTTTTTTTATTATTTAGATTTATAGATCATATCTCTGCATTAAAGTTATCAGATGCAGTTTATAAATTTACTTGTCTTTGCTGTTAGGACGGGACAAAGTGTAACGTTACAGCCACATTTCCTGTAAGCAGAAAGGTGTGACCTCAATAGAATGACAAGCTAAAATTATATTAACTTAAGGACTTTTTCGATCACATTTTGTAAAATCTGCACATATACAGAATAAATGATAGATTCAAAATAATACTATATCAAAATAGGAAGGAAGAAATGTGTGGTATACTTATATACTACAGTTTCCTCTCTCACCTATTTCAGAACTTGTCCTCAAACTGACAATTAATTTTAACTTTAAAACCACATTTTTCAGCGTATATGCCGATGTGGAGAATACGTCGAGTGGGTCAAATTTCTCATTATCTTAACCTTCATTCATATATAAGTTGAAGTGGAGTATAAGACAAGGATAGATCAAGTATGGAACCACTGTGTTGTATACTGTATGTCAGTGGAAGAAATAGTGTGAAGTGTGCAGAAATTTGAAGGGGGGGGGGGTGAAAGTTAGCCAAAAGATTATGAAATAAAAATATAAAGAGTTAAAATTCTTTTATTACATACAAGAAATAACAAACGAAAGACAGAATCAAACTTCTAACAAGTGTAAAATTGTCTAGACATTTAATTACCGAATACACATTTGATCACCACAGATAGTTACTCAACATCAAAGAAACCTGTGATTTGCCTTCTTAGTTTTA